GCAGAAGCATTAGACGATAATGTTGCGAAAATAAGAAACCCCTAAGTTATCATGTTCTAACCACGGTTTTACCCCCGTGGGTGGGTCGTCAAGAACGTGGAGCCCACTTGGCAATGTCTAGGCCATCGACGCAAGATAGTCTGCTGCAAAGTTCTCTTCTCGATGAATGTGGCGAACCTCTACTTTCCATTCCCTAGCCAACAAGTCTCGAATGCCTAGAATGATACTGCTGTTAACCCCGGTCGGGCCGCATCCTGCAGCACCACCTTCACCGTTAACTGTTAAGTGTTGTAAACATAGCTACTAATTTTACTTTATTATTATTATTATTATTATTATTATTATTATTATTATTATTATTATTATTATTATTATTATATTTTTGAATTAGACCCAAAATTATATCGATTAATTCAACGTAATTGACTTGATGAGACTAGAGTCCAACCACTTTATTTAATGAGGTATGAGTTTTATTAAGCTTGAGAAATAGAGTTTTATGAAATTGACTTGAGGCTCAAGTCTGACTAATTAATGTTTATAAATAAGTCAAATTTGAGTCTATTTGTTGGCTCGATAAAGGCTTGAGTGAACGCTAGTGTTTGAGCTCAGGTCGTCTACAACTTTACTTATACACTACAAGAAAATTATGAAATTCCAGCAGAAATATATTCCAATAGAATTCCAATGGATATTTCAATGTTAATTCCAATGGAAAGTCCATCAAAAATATTCCGTTGGAATGAGTTTTCCATTGGAGTTTCCGTTGGATTTTGACGATTCCAATGGTGGTGAAAATAAAAATTTCAACAGAAATTGCATATTCCAACGGAAATTCCTACGGTCAAAAGCCGTTGGAATCATTAAATTTTATCTAAAATTCCAATGAAAAATACATTACAACAGAATATTTTCGTTGGAATTCCTGTTAGAATCATTCCAACGGAAGCAATATCATTGAAATATCCGTTGGAATTTCCACTGGATTATATTACCATATGATTTTTCGTTGAAATATAACATTTTTTTTAGTGATATATATGAATTACTTATTTTATCTTTTTGGATTCATGGTTGCGATTATGAATGACGATAAAATATTATGTTGTCAATAACGAAACAATTTATATATATACTCACCAATCACGTTTTAACTTTAGATGAAATTGCATCATAGACACATCAATATTTGCCCACCAATCACGTTTTAACTTTTTTATGATCTTTCAATTATATACTCATTGTATATCATACTAATGTTTTGCTATATATTAATTGGTGAACATATTAACTATACCGAAATTGTTGTTGCTAATTATGTACCCGAACATATTTATTTATATTGTAAGCACATCTTTTTNACTAAATGAAAAATGTTAAAATCAGTTTACAGGATGAAGCTTGAATATATAGTTTGGCAATACATTTACACTTTATGATCTCATTCTATATCTGCCTAATCTTTGAGAAGTAAACTTAATTAAAAGGTGCATGCATCGAGATCCGTGGATATGTTAATGTGGAGTGTGGACAACGTTGCACTTCGCTTGTTAATTATTGCAGTAAAGCTAATTAAGATCATTAAAGTTTAATTACTATATAATAATTCTTACTAATGGTAACATTATCCAAGGAATTAAATCATTAAACCAAGCTGTCATGTGGTGTTTCTGTTGTTATAGCTTCTGCTAATTCACGTAAACAAGTCGCAAGAGGTGAAGATAAATGAAATATCTTTTCTTTAATTTGAAGTTTGAAGTTTGAAAACACATAAAATTTGTTATTATAAATAGATCCACTTATAGCAATTTAGGACTCAAGTCTCGAATCTTGTTTCCAAACTTTTAGCCCAAAAGCGCCCATATATTAGGCCATAAATGAACTTAACTTATTAATCGCTTTGTGATCTCCTACGTAAGCAGTGCGTGAACTTATGGTTCACGACACACCCTCTCATCGAGAATATTTGACATGTTACAAATAAGCTCACCTCTCTTGTACTTAGGTATTGTCTCTAACTTAAATTTGTTACAAATAAGCTATTGCTATTAAATTAAACGAGTCTGACTCAACTGGGCTCATTAAGGCTCGAGTTCAGCTTGACTTGTTTGATAAACGAGTTGAGTCCGAACTCATTTAAATCTCGTTTGGTTAACTGTCAGCTTGATAAGGCTCGGAAAGAAAATTTTTGTATAATTTTCTAAAATTTGACTCGTTAAAACTCGAGATCGGTCTCACGTTTTAGCGATAAACGAGTCGAGTTCGAGCTCGATTTCAGATTCGTGAACGACTCGAGTTCGAACTCGAGCACCCTAAGCTCGAACTTGACTCAGCTCTCGTTTACAACTCTCTCGGTTACAGGCCTACTTATGGCTCAAAAGCATGCCTACAAAGTTAAAGATAAACTCAACTTTTTTAACCGTACGTTAAGTGGTGTCATATTCGAGCAATGTACCTACTTCTAGTTTACAGCAAAAACAACTTTAATTTATTGAAATTTGGGAGAGAAAATACAACAAGTCAACAACTTGCACGATTTATTATGAGGTTTTCATTCACATGGAAAATATCAAATGTGTAGTAAAATCTCCCAACTTTTTGAAAGATATGCTATGCTTGTCCTCATGAGGACAAGCAATTGATCAATTGCTTTCAATAACTATTTTTCTTGTTATCTTTTAGGAGTTGCATTTTCTTAATATAGTATGAGATGTTAGAATAAGGTCCCACTTAAGGACTCCAAATGGTAATCACTTTGTGCTGGTAATAGACGTGTTTATATATTTTTTCCTTATTATCCATAATAAATTCA